TCACAAGAACGTCGAATCTGAATCACTTGAAAAAAACACGGGGGTGCTTAACTTTTTTCCAGGTGTATATATAAGAAAATAATTTTATAATATGTTTCTTTTTTCCTACATGTGAAAACATTTTGTTTTTCTTTCAATGTAGGTTTAGGGAATGCCCTTGACAAGTAAATTTTACATTTATTACCTTCTAGTTTGATGTTTACACTACAATCTAGGATCCATTCTGAGTCAAGAAATATTTATTTTATAAGGTACAGTACCTGTGGAATTTGAGTGCTCTTTCCACAACTTGTTTCTCCTACAATAACCACCGTTTGGAAACATTCCAACAGATATAATATGTGGTTTCTATACTATAAAAAGAAAGTGTTTGTCTTACCTTAACAGATCATAGAATCATAAACAAACTTTTATCTTATATTAAACAGAGCAGAGAAACTGTGTTAGACTTAATCTAATTTAGGCTTACATCTGACAAAATGCTACCGAAAGTGATACAAAATTTTCTATTTTCATAAATAAGTCACTGAATATTTACACAGACTTTTGAATAAAATAAAAATACTGTTCTCGAGGTATTATAAATACATTAAGCTATCAAAATCGTGCAAATGTTTTTAAAATCATTCAATATCAGTTAGTAGGTGCTTTATATTTTACATAAAGCAATATTTTCATGGTATATGAGAAAAATTTATCTGAAATTTAAAACAATTCTCATAAAGTTTTAAATTATCAATGTTTTAAACATTAAATTTAGAAAAGAAAAAAAAGACAAGGAATCTTAAAAAACAAACAAACAGAGAAAAGTAGGTAATCTTTTCAATTATTTCATAACTCATAACATTCAAATAAAATCAAAAGCATAAAAAAAATAATTAAAAATCAGATATATGGAATTAAAGTTTAAAGATGAAATGAAAAATATTAATGTTTATATCAATGATGAGTGTGCAAATATTTATCTAATTAGACTTAATGGTTACAATTCCTCCAAGTTTTTAATAAGCACTTGTTAGATTTCTTCACTGCAATTTGTATACAATTGGAAAATTTTACCATGTTACCCATTCGTGGCTGATAACGATTAATTATCAGTTATTTAATTGAGGTTACTTTAGTAGTAAAATGGATGACTAGAAAAATTTATATGGATTCTGTATTACAGAAAGAAGTGAAATTAGTAGAAAATGTATCATTAAAGTAAAATACTAAAGGCATAATAATTATAAAAGATTTGGAAGCACAATAATAATGTCAATATTACTGGCTAAATGTGTATATGTGAAGAATTATTCTTATTCTAAAGGAAAGATTTCATTGTATTTGGGTTTAATATATTTCACAAAAATAAGATAAATTTCGATTTTTTTTTGGGTGGTTAGGAAATTGATCAAATTGACCAACCTTGTATAGAGTTAGGGTAGAGAAAATAACAGATAAAATACAAATTTTATTGAAAACAAACAATTGAAATGTCTTTTGAAGAATTTAGAGATTAAGCAAATTAAATTTGAGATTTCTGAGATGAAGAGAAGTATCTTTAATCTTAACATGAAAATCACTTTGCACTCGAACAAGTCAAAAAAAGACTCAATATATTCACAGGCAAATGTTTTTTTAGTTTATTAAAACTATTTCAGTAAAACATCTGATTTTTTGTACGTGAAAGACTTGTAATGTTTACTGAAAGCCTGCCATATTTTGTAAGATACACATACTATATTAAAAGTTAGAACTATCAACAGTATAAAGACTTATACTGTTATAAACGAGTACAAAGTAGTCATGTGGTCTGTCAATTTGACTGAGCCCATGTAAAAAGATTTAAGACAAAAAAAAGAGAGGAAATGTATAAAGTTAGACAATAAACACTATTTTGGGGAGTACTGACTGGTTTTGATTTTTTATATTATATATATAGATATTTGTACTGTGTTTATTTGTAAACACAAAATTACTGTGAAAAACATTTTCTGGTACCTTGACTTATACACTAATTACTATACTGCCACAAACAAATCTGGATTTGGCCTACTTCCTAGTCACTGTGTCAGAAACACGGCTCACTAAACATATAGCTAAATGGAACACTAAAATAATGTGTTAAACTGTTATACCACAGAAGCTACTGATGTTCCACTGCATTTCAATATTAGATTATCAAATATATGGCTTTAATCTGGTTGGTTATATGTTATAGTTAATCACCAAATCAATACATCACAAAATAGTTTACATATTGGTATGAACACATATAGATCATTCATTGTATGTTTCATATCTCTATAGATATATCCTTTACTGGTTAAAATTAAAGTTTTACCTTTAACATATAGTTTAAAAAATACCTATGCTGTAAATTTTCATTAGTTCTCTTGGCTATGCTAAGAATTAAATCTAGTATTGTACTCTCTACTGCCTTTTTCCTATTTATTTGTCTTTCTTTTGTTTATTGTGTAATTCTGATTATTGCTTGTGTTTCCAGGTCTTACCTCACAGAATATAAGATGATAAATGCACATGTTTCTTGCTCTTACCTCCCAGAATATAACATGATAAGTTCACGTGTTTCTGGCTCTTACCTCACAGAATATAACATGATTATTGCATGTGTTTCTGGTTTTTGCCTCCTAGAATATAACTTGATAACTGCATGTGTTTCAAGCTCTTATATCCCAGAATATAACATGATAACTGCATGTGTTTCTAGCTCTTATATCCCAGAATATAACATGATAACTGCATATGTTTCTGGCTCTTACCTCACAGAATATAACATGATTATTACATGCATTTCTGGTTCTTACCTCCCAGAATATAACATGATTATTACATGCATTTCTGGTTCTTACCTCCCAGAATATAACATGATTATTACATGCATTTCTGGTTCTTACCTCCCAGAATACAACATGATTATTGCACGTGTTTCTGGCTCTTACCTCACAGAATATAACATGATTATTACATGCGTTTCTAGTTCTTACCTCCCAGAATACAACATGATTATTGCATGTGTTTCTGGTTCTTACCTCATAGAATCTTTAGGACAATTGCAATCAGCTCCATCATACTACTTCAATTTGACTTCTGACAGAGTAGGATTTTAAACACTTTATCTCACAAACCATCAGTGTGTGGAACACAGTAGGATTTTAAAAAAATTTAACTCATAATCCACCAATGTGAGAAACAGAGTAGGATTTTCTATCTCATGATCCATCAAAGTAAGGAATATAGTAGGATTTTATAATTTTATCTAACGATCCATCAGTGTGAGAAACAGAGTAGGATTTTAAAAATGTTATCTCACAATCCATCAGTGTGAAAAACAGAGTAGGATTTCAATCATTTTATCTCGTGATCCATCAGCATAAGGAACAGAGCAGAATTTTAAACATTCTTTAGTATATGGCTTGGCAAAGAGACTAGGATTATAAACTAAGTATTTCTTTGAATAACATTTTAATAGTAGAATTAAAATTCCAAACATGATACTTTATCTCAATCATAACTCTAACCATATGAATAAGAAAGGTGACACCATATAATAATGTCTGACTGGTGTCTTCTATCTCATCACAGTACAAGTCTTTAGAATAACATTTTGAATACAACAACAAAGTAAACTTACCTGAAAAATGGGAAGTTGTTGTCGTTGTTGTTCAATAGAGAGGGAAGAATTGGGATTGAAAATTACTTTAGAGTGATCTAAGTCTACAATAGAACTTCTTTCTTCTTCAAGTGCCAAAAGTTCTTCTCCTTCAATAAACAGTAGAAACAAATTATATTGCGTTGAGTTTAAAATATATATATTACCTTCTAAAAATACTGTATAAACCAAATTCAAAATCACTTTCAATATGTGTTGCTTGCTACAAATTAAAAACATTAATATATTTTGATACAACATATAAAACTTTACTATTTTTTCATACTAACTAAAAATGTAGGTGAAGATTACTACTACTTCTTGTAAACAAGAACTAATTGATCATACTAAAATTTGAATTATAATCAACAATTTGATACCAAACTTATTTACATATATTCATAAAATAGTAATTCAATAAAATGTTTAAAGTGAATCTACAAACACAATGACATGGCCTTTGACTCATGACCATAAGAAGACCTGTAGAGATGGGGTTAAAGGTGAGGATATCCAAATAATGAAATGATATATTCTAAGAACAGTATATTCAATTAGCGATGCTCACTACCAGGTTGATTTTTAGTTTGGATTTAAGTCAGCTTGCTCTGATCCAAAGTTAATATTATTTACAAAGAAATTACTTTTTAGCTGTACATAAAATCTGAATGTATGATAAAAGGTTTAAAGTATTTCAGGAACAAGCAAAGTTTATTCTAGGTGAAGCTTACAATACATTAATTTTACTAACATAACTCTGCAAACAATATACAGATCAGAAAGCTTGAAAACCAAACCATATGCCAAACTTTTAACATGAAATAAACTATTGAACAAATAGCTAATCATGAGTAAAGCTATTTACTATTGTTCACATACATGTTGTGCAGCTTTTCAACAACAAATTTTTACAGATGAGTTGATACAGTAACCAGAAAAGTACATGTATTTACAGGTACTTTTACAGATAAGTTGATACAGTAACCAGAAAAGTACATGTATTTACAGGTACTTTTACAGATAAGTTGATACAGTAACCAGAAAAGTACATGTATTTATAGGTGCTTTGAAAGATAAGTTGATACAGTAACCAGAAAAGTACATGTATTTACAGGTACTTTTACAGATAAGCTGATACAGTAACCAGAAAAGTACATGTATTTATAGGTGCTTTGAAAGATAAGTTGATACAGTAACCAGAAAAGTACATGTATATATATAGGTACTTTTACAGATAAGTTGATACAGTAACCAGAAAAGTACATGTATTTATAGGTTCTTTTACAGATAAGTTGATACAGTAACCAGAAAAGTACATGTATTTACAGGTACTTTTACAGATAAGTTAATACAGTAACCAGAAAAGTACATGTATTTATAGGTACTTTTACAGATAAGTTGATACAGCAACCAGAAAAGTACATGCATTTACAGGTACTTTTACAGATAAGTTGATATAGTAACCAGAAAAGTACATGTATTTACAGGTACTTTTACACGTAATTTCATACAGTAACCAGGAAAGTACATGTATTTACAGGTGCTTTGAAAGATAAGTTGATACAGTAACCTGAAAGTATATGTATTTCTAGGTACAAGTCAATGATGATTTTATTACATAAAAATTAACTTTTTGTGGTTAATAACAAAGGCAATCATAAACCTGGATTATCCATTAATCAGTTATCTAAAACTTGTGGCAAAATCGTTTTCTACAGTGCTAGAAAACAATATCCATGCAGTATGATGTGTGTGTTCTATGTATGAAAATCACTGAATATACAGAGCAAAAATACCCAGGTTATTAAGTTCATACAAATGTACTTTAGGATAGAAAACGGTAGAAACCTAGTTCATTATTGAAATATAAATCCGCACCTTTAAGAGCCATTAGTAATACAGTATAAAGTTGCTTAACACTATTTACAAAACATTATATGTAATGTAGTTAATACTATAGTATTAACACATCCCTCAGGAGCCACTTTATACTACAGTTTGTTGAATATTAAATGTAAGTTCAATCTGGAAAGTCCCAAAAAGGGTGGTTTTGAACATATCTTTTTGAGACATGTTTTCACTTGTAAATTTATAAATTTTTAAGTGAAATACAGTATCCTCAAGTCTCCATATTAGCTAGTACTAAGGTCTATTCACTGGGAGTAAATTCAGAATATATAAATAAACCACATTCTCGGCATCATTAATTAAGAAACAGCTAACCTTTTATTCTTCTGCTATTACCTTTTTTGTGCTTAGCTTTCAACTGAGATATGAACAATTTCACCTGCAATTCGCTAGGGAAGTCAAAGCATCACGATAGTCAGCAGTAGGATGAGTAGACAGAAACACTTTGAAAGCAGCTACAGGCTTAATATTGTACATGGCTTACAGCACAATATCTACCAAGGTGGTTCTAAACGGTTCCTGAATATCTCTGTGTGTCATTTGCAAACTTCCATGCTTCTTGTGCTTGGCCGTTAAGCTCATGGTGAGCTGATGGATTTCAGTCACCTTACTACTTCAAATCACTTTTTGCAGCCCAAACACTAAAATAGTGCAGGAAATGCCTTTTTTTTAGCCAGTAAACATGTCCAAAAAATTTCAGTTCATATTACAAAAAACTGGATTGGGTAGTTATTGTTTTTCCAACAAAAATGCCCCCCACTGGTTCATGAGAGGCCTGTTAATATCAAGCTAAAATCCCTCTCCATAGATTTATAAAATTTCAAAGTAGCAGGGAAATAAAAGAATGTAGATAGGTGGTGTTCAAGCTTCCCAGTCAAAAACAACTTCCAGCATTTAGTATATACTATAAATTTTCTTCTACAGAGCAATTTTTCTTCCTTCCTTCCATTTCACTACAGAAGTCCACAATTTGCTATAAAACATAAATCCTAATAGGCTCAGTTTAAAGCTCTTATCTATGAGTATATATGCCTGACCTGGTCTATCAGACGGACAGAGGAGGTATTTTACTTCAGAACAAGTTTAGCTGTGTATAAGTCATTCACTAAAAACAATGGACCCAATATATAAAACCAAAAACATTTAATAGATTCTTATCAACACAACTAAAGCCTAGCCTGTTTTTTTTCCTTCTGAAAAGCTACATTACGTTATACATTTGTAGGCTCAGTTGCCGATCTCAACTGCTTATATAAATTTACTATGATCTAAAAAAGAAATTCAATTTAAACTGCACTGAATTTTCTTAAATCTTTTTTATTCTGAGAACACACTTCATTCTTTTCAATTTAATTTCGAACACAAAAACACATGTACAACAAATGAAAACAATGTTCTCCTTCTGGATTTATGAACTAATTTGTATCATAGAAGCACTTTCTTGATAATTTTGTTTTACAAAAGTTTCTCAAGTCACAACAGAATGTTTTAAATTTCTGTTTTTTTGTTTTTTTATAAAAAACGAAGATTTGGAATAAAAAATAGCTGGGGGCAGGCAGAAATTGTAGGGGAAAATCAGTGACACTGCTACTCTGTGTTGTAATTTCACTTTGTTACAATAAAGCATTAAATAATATTCAACAGTACTGGTTCATGTATTATAAATTAAAAAATATATATTGAAGTAATACAGACACTAGTAGCTTTTAATAAATCATACAATCAATATCATGTTAAATTTTATAAACTGTTTAAGTTCCATGACATTTCCTATGAAACATTTCCACTGGTATATTTATCTGATTCACAAAGAAACATTAAACCTATAATAATATGTGAAGAATACTACTAGTGTTTATGTGTTCCATAATGAAAGCATTCTCTGCTACTTCTTTAATGATACTTTCATTAACAGTATAGGTTGGAATATTTAATAGACATATTTTATTATATTTAAATTATGAAGATAATTTTACACTGTTAGCTCACTACAGTATGTGAATTTAGGACTAATCTAAATTGACCAAACCTCACGAGATATTACCGACATTATAGCAAGGGTACCCAGCTGATGAAACAAAGTATTTTAATCTTTATAAAAACTAATAACAGTAACTGTATTTTTTATTAGTTATACTCATCAGTCAGTTGATTTTTGTTCTTGATCTATGTAGGTATCTTCTTTAATCAGAAGTTAATATTTTTAAATATTCAGTTTTCTCAGGTCTGAGCATGTAGAAATAAACTAATCAATAATATAAACACATATGTAAATTTATATTAACTATAAGAAGCTTCAGTTATCAGAACATCTTGAAATTTTTGTTAAGGGCACTAGCAGTATGACAAAATATCTTATTACACTTACTGTTATCTTCTCTACATTCAGAAAGCAAAAACACTGATTGATCACATTTTATATTTTTGAAACTAAAATGAATTCTAAACGGGTATTTACCACTATTACTGTAGGCTTCTCTTTGTTGAGTTTACTCTAGTCCTGTCAACAAACATGTGACTCAAAATTCCAAATATCCTTTATGCATTTCATCCTGCCCTCTATAACTCAAAATATTGCTAAAAAACTTATTGGAAAATATTCCAAGGGTAAATAGCTGTTTTAAATTCATTTTATTTCTAAAAATGTAAAATTCAAATCAGGTAGTCTTATCTCTGAAATACTGTAGGCCAGAATACCTACAATAAAAAAAGGATGTGAAAGCTAGTGAGAGTGAAAATGATAAAGAAATAGTTATACATCTATACTTTACAGAGCAGAAAGATGACACTCAGGATTACAATAAACATGTAATCAAGCAGAATTCAGAACCAGAAGAATTTGAAGAACTGGAATTGATGGAGAAAGAGTGGATTGAATCTAAGGACACTCAAAAAAAAGGCATTTTTCTCACCAGGGTACCTCCTTCCACCCTTAATGCCTTTCAATTCACATACGATTCAGGGTGAATACAATGAAATCATAAAGGAAATGATGGGAACACAAGTGATGACATAAACAGGTAGGAGGAACAGTTCTTAAAACATAGGCATGCTAAAAATATTTTATTAATTAAGACAGGAGTCTTGAGATAAACAAAAAATTATAGTAGTGTCTGAATTTTCTATATAAAAAATGTAGTCAACTTTTACACAATTACAATTTTTGACACAGGTCAGTCAAGATATGAACTGCTTGTAGAAAATAGCAAAAACATAATAAAAGAACACATTCACATTGTAATACTCACAAACAAAACACTGATATCTATGTATCTGGTTTCAAAAATTTTGGTTTGAAGGACAACATTTTATCCAATATAAGTCCACAGACATTCAATGCTACTGACCTGGTTTCAAAAACTTTGGTTTGAAGGACAACATTTTATCCAATATATGATAAGTCCACAAACATTCAATGCTACTGACCTGGTTTCAAAAACTTTGGTTTGAAGGACAACATTTTATCCAATATATGATAAGTCCACAAACGTTCAATGCTACTGATATTCCTTTTCTTGACAACACTCTCTAATCATTGATTTCTTCGAACTTGAAAATTTTCTTCAGGCTGTAAAATAATAAGGTAATAAAATCATCTTGAAAGAAAGAACCAAATGGAATAATAGATTAATGTTACTGCATTCAAAAATGCAAACTTCACCATTGTAAACATTACTGTTGGTTATTGGTAAGTTTGGAAAAGTACTTTATTCATAATTTTAAATTTTACAGTGTTTTAGGTTCTTATTATAAATTATTCATATAATTAATGTGAAATCAATAAACTCAATCAATAAACACGTTTATATTTCAAACCTTATTAAAGACAGATGACAGAAGTTTTCAGGTTTATTGTTTCTTAGAGAATAAAACAATTAAATAACAAATTTTTATTCATCAGATTTTCTCTCCAATATGAAAGTGACATTGTTAAAATAAATACAAATTTGAACAAATGATTAAGTATAAATTTCACATAATCACGTGAATTAGGTACACTTATTTTCGATAAAAAAGTTCTGTATGTGTTTAGAAGAAACTGTGATAAGTTTATCCCTACAATAGTATTTTATCCTTCTTCTCTACAATTACTTCTTTCTGAATATACTTCTCCATAATAGTTTTAAAAAATACCTATTGTATTCAACTGACTAAAGTGAATATATAGATATTATGTATAAAGTTACACAGTCTCATCTAGATTGGTCGAACTATAAAAGAATAGTAGGCCTAAAGCCCTAACTTAGCAAAAATATTTTACTTTTGACCCCTAGAAGCATAAATCTCATATCTCACTGCTTCAAGATGTGGATATTGTTGCAACTTTTACAAAGTTTCAACTGGATTGAAAATAGGAAATAGTAGTCCAAAAATCCTAATATTCTGATTTGTTTTTTAAAAACCTTTGACCTCTGTAAGCTCAATAAAGTCACAAATCCAAAATCTATCTGTTGTAGTTTGTGGGAGTTGAAACAAAATATCTTTGTGCCTAATCTCATTTGGGTTTATGGAAATATAAGGGAACTGTAGGTCAAAATTTTTTTTTTGTAATACTTAACTTTCTTAGTCAAAAATATGAAAAAGGTGTCTCAGCATACTGAACCAGGGTATATGGGTGCTACTATAGCGTGAGGTCTACCACACTATAGCGTGAGGTCTACCTCCCATTAGTACTATAGCGTGAGGTCTACCGCTGCATTATCTATCCCTCATGGATATCACACATTTCCAAACATTTATTTTAGTGATAAACACTTAACTTGATACATTTTTATACATGTTTGATAGACCTGGGTAGGCGACATATGGTGGTAGACCTCACACTATAGTAGCACCGGTATATTGCCCTCCAAGTTTCAAGATGGTTGACATGGAAATTAAAGACTGGTTGACATAGAAATTAAAGACTGGTTGACATGGAAATTAAAGACTGGTTGACATAGAAATTAAAGACTGGTTGACATGGAAATTAAAGAATGGTTGAAAAGAAGAAACATGGTTAGAAGTACCAATTTTTTAAAATTTTTTATAAATACAACATCAGAAGTACACTAAAATATGGTTGGCTCTTTTAATCTTTAAATTAGTTTTGTAAAGTTCTAGAATTAACCTTGTTACTGTTTTGGAACATGGTTAAGGAAAGATACTAACAAATGACTAAGATGTATGATCTAATCAGAAAAAGGATTTTTAAAATTTGAAGTGAATGTTATCCATTAGCAACTAATAAATGAAATAAAATCTGATAGAAGGGTGTTTTATCAACAATTAAAACCTGTGTTCATAATATTTAAAAACAAATTCTTTATTTTCATTTTTTATAATTCCTGTACTGCTTGCAAACAACAAAGTTGACAGAATGGAAATTATTTCTCTAGTGTTGTGAAAACAGGACCCAACAATGAAATTACATAACTACATTAATAAATTATTATCAGGATTTTCCATAGGATTTCAAAATTGGGGATGAAATACACTCAGGTGTTAAATTCTAAGGGTGAAAATTTACAATCTTTAACGTGGGATCGCTCCCTCAACTAGAGATAAAGTAGTGCTTTTGGATGGTATGATAAGGAACAAGAAATTCTGTTGGAAAGTCTGGAATCTGCTGTACCCCAATATATATATGATTGTAATGTATTTCAGTAAGGGGTAATAAGCAATCAAAGAAATGAAGGGTTTCAGAGTGGTTTTATCACCTTATCAGCAGGAGTCACACATACATATTGATTATCTCCTGTTTTTCTTTTGAATCTCAAAGTAAATTTTGTGACCTTTCTCCAATGTCTGAAACACTCAGAATCTTAAAATGCCCTACAGAACAAATCAAAGCACCAGCAAGAAAAACAGTTCACTACTCTAAATGAATGAGTAGCCTTAACAGTGCTTTTACTGTTGGTGTTTTGTCCTTGCAAGTGGTGATTATCGAGTAACGATGTGCAAAGAATTGTTTCTCATATTTTAAACATGGGTCTTTTTTAACCAACCCATGACATCTACAAGTCAAACTAACATGTCATACTCTAACATATGTTACAGTAGTAATGCTATTGTTTCTCATATTTTAAACATGGGTCTTTTTTAACCCACCCATGACATCTACAAGTCAAACTAACATGTCATACTCTAACATATGTTACAGTAGTAATGCTATTATATATGTTACAGTAGTAATGCTATTACAAGTTCAATATATGCAAGAATGTAACAGAAAAATCAGTGACAAGAATGATGTGTTCATAAATATTGGAGAAACCTTTTACTAAACAGTCATAAGTGTTTCTTTTATAGTCATATTTACAGAACTATTTGATCATAGTATGGTGATGTTGACACAAATAGCAGTAAACACTGAACTGATGTTAGTGATGTGGAATACTCAATCATTGTAATTATTTGTAAACCCCTAATTTGTTGAATTTACACAGTCAAATTGTAGCTCTTCATTATAACAAAAGAATGAAAATATTGTTTGGAATTTTGTGGCATCTTGTCATGAGCTTTTCAACATAAACATTGATGGACATTTCTTCTTATACCTTATTTACATCAATGACATAGATGAAGGAATAGTCAATAAATTACTTAAATTTGCAGATGATATTAAGGTATTGGGTGTTGCTAGTTATGAAAAGGATGCTGCTGATTTACAAAAGGGTTTATATCATTTAGTGAGTTGGGCAAATAAATAGCAGATGGGTTTTGATT